CATCTCATGGAACGCCGTAAATTCTACATTCCTATGGCAGAGGGCGAGTCTTTGCAGTCAAATACAAAATGTTGTTCTCGTTGGCTCGTAAAAAGGGTAAAGGTGCAGCCCTGCAGTTGCTTGCTCATGCCACTGCTGGCGGAAGGGCCTCCATTCGAGGGAGGTCTAAAGATCCTCCTCGCAGAGGTTATTTGGCATACTCATTCATGCTGGCCAGACATCATTAAAATAGGTTTATACCATATAAAATACTCGTGAATTAATTGTTATTGCTTGGCAAACTTTTGGACATTGGAAAGTAAAATAACCACTGGTGGAAATTCCACAGTCATATGTCAGAAATCAGACTATCAAAATCTTTATTTAGACTGGAGAAATCCGATGAGCTATGAAGATTTTTTTCATAGATGTCCAGTTTGTCCAGCACTACCCAAAGGACAACCACTATCGACCACCCAGACAATGGTAATCATATTATTATTATTAAACGTACTTGGGTGATGGGTTGAGTACAACCATGACTGGGATTGAATTCACGACCTTGCGATCGGGGAACAGAGCGGTCTGCTAAAGTACCGAAGTGGCCGGACTATGACACGACGCCATAATCAAACCCAAGATCATGCACACTCGCATTAACGTGTAGCCACCATGGGCTGTCTGTGGCACCAGGACTGTGCTGAGAACAAGGTGAACAGATTGTGACCCATTGTGCCTGGGAGCAATGGGTCTGGGTTCACCTGCTGCTCTCGCCAAGTCCCCTCACGCCCCTGACACCCCAAATCCACCCGCACCCACCCACCCACTCACCACCACACCACCAAGACTCACCGCGTCTGAGCGGCCTGATTTATTCCGACAGGAAATCAGAGAACTATAATGAGAGTGTTCACAAGCCATCCGTTAGAGAAGCCCTGCCATAGGTCATTAAAGTGGCAACAGCAAGAGCCCGGGAAAGGCAGTGTGCTGTTCAAAGTGAAAAACCAAATGCGTGCATTGCCCATGTTTAACCGCAGTTCTTGTAATCTCACGGTTCGCCCATCACCCACTTTCGTCCGCACACCACGAAACAATGACTTGAGGAAGAAAAAGAAACGATGGCTTGAAAAAGTTTTGTTTTGAGCAGATCCAATTTAAAACACGCAAAGCGTTTTTGTTGTTGTTGTTGCTATGACTGTTAATAACAACGTGACTTTGAAGGTTTTCAATAATTATTCGCGGACCAAGCGTGGAGGAAATCAATGGCGACACAGGATTTCCAGTGAAACACAAAGAGTTTCACGTACGTGTTTAAAAAGTCGACGAGCATGTTGTCCAACGCGCGAGGCTGGCGATGTTTTAGGACGGGCCGACGTAAAAACGTAGTGGCAGGACCAGATGAGGGTGGCCTGATTCTGTCTGAAGTGACTCTAGGATGTGCGGAATTTACATCGGATGACATCTCTTTGCTGTTTTGCTCTCCTGGATAGGGAAAGCATATAGAGAAACTCAATCAGTGGAGAGTCGAAAGACAAACTCCTGCGCATGCTTAATAAACAGTCCCTTCTCCCGAGTGAAATAAGAAAGAGGCTTACACAGTGGAATCTGACATCAACGCACTGCCGCTAAGCAGCTGGGAAATGTTCAAAGGGGTAACAATTCACACGTATTTGCCTGCCATCTTTATATATGTAACAATAATAATAGTCAATTCCAGCCAGTCTCAAGCCACCTATGCATAAAAACTATACAATAATAATAATTGTTTTTTTTACCAGGTAAGGCCTTCTGAGTGATATAGTTTTTTTATCGGCCAGGTCACAAATGGTAGCTCAACGAAGTGGCTTATCACGTGGCAATTTATAACAGCCAGATACTCTAAACGTATGCTTCTAAATGTGAATGGAAAAAAACTGGAGGACTCGCAGGTAAAATCCAAACGACCATGGGGGAGAACATGCGAACTCAAAATATACGCGCGTCAGGGACGGGATCGAACCCACGCCCCTCTGTATACCGAGTATGGTAGTTGACATCTGGCTACCATCGCGCCCCATGGATGGATGATGGCTTCAACACACCAAGTCGGTCTTCGGAGTATTTCTTTTACCATACTTCACCATGCTGGTCAGCGTGTGGTTGGTGAAGTGGAAGGGCAAGGGCCTGGTTATCAAACTCTTCATGCAGTGAGTGCGCTCACCGCTCCACCTGTCGTCCTAACCCTGCCATCGTTTCAACCCTGCCATTTTTAATGACACAATTTTAAGAGCCTCCCACTGCTAATCAAGCTTGTTTTTTTCTCTCCTGAATACTTAGCTTGGCGATATGGCCTTTACCGAGCTGGGTCATATCACCAAAGTCACCGAGATAAGAAGGGGGGGGGGGGACATGCCTGTAAACTCATGCTTCCATGGCAGGGTTGATGGCTCACACAGAGGTCACCGTGCGCATGGTGCCTTGCGCAAGGCTACAATAGAAAGACAGCGATAATTTTTCTGACCTGTGGGTAAAGATTTTCGAGAATTGACCTTTTTCCTTCCTGGCACTCCAGTTTCCTCTTCCCCCATTAAAAAAAAAACTTCAAGTGGAAGTCACCAAATATCACTTACAGAACCCTCATTATTTAGGAGTCTTGAATTGAAGTGAGGATTTTCCTGGATTATATATATTTTTTTACAAAACCTTTTCATTCCTTGACCCAACTGCTTCATGCCAACTGAGGGGTGATGGTTACACACTGAAATTGAGGTGAAATTCCAGTTGTGAGTTGCCTCGGCCAATCGGCTCCTTTGTTGGAACCCATCGTACTGCAATTTAAAATGTGTACAACTTGCTTGGAGCCACAAAGGGCATTCATCACCTGCCAGTGCAATTTTTTTTTAAAACCAAGAAGCCCCTTCACTTCTTAAACGGCGAAAATGCTCGATGTTTATGATGATGAAGATGCTGACAACAGTGGCAATCACGATTATGATGAAGATGCCGACGACAGTGGCAATCGTGATTATGATGAAGTTTCCGACGACAGTGGCAATCATGATTATGATAAAGTTGCCGACGACAGTGGCAATCATGATTATGATGAAGTTGCCGACGACAGTGACAATCATGATTATGATGAAGATGCCCACAACATCGGCAATCATGATTATGATGAAGATGCCGACGACAGTGGCAATCATGATTATGATGAAGTTGCCGACGACAGTGGCAATCATGATTATGATGAAGTTGCTGACGACAGTGACAATCATGATGATGATGAAGATGCCGACGACAGTGGCAATCATGATTATGATGAAGATGCCGATGACAGTAGCAATCATGATTATGATGAAGATGCTGATAACTGTGATAATCATGATGATGATGAAGATGCCCACAACAGTGGCAATCATGATGATGATGAAGATGCCCACAACAGTGACAATCCTTTCTTCTCACACAGCTTAAAGGTCGCGATCTGAGCGTGGCTTTTTCGCTCCAGCGCTGTCCTCCAGACAGTCTCGTCCCTTTACCTGATGAAGGCCGCTTGTGTTGTGGCCGAAACGTCGTGAGAATTTTATTGTGTTATTTTATTTTATCAATGTATTATTTTATTCTCATTCTACGTGACTTTACCGAAAGAACCAAAGAAGAAAGTGACAATCCTGATTATGATTAAGATGATGACAACAGTGGAAATCTTGATGATGATGAAGATGCCCACAACAGTGGCAATCTTGATGATGATGAAGATGCCCACAACAGTGGCAATCATGATCATGATGAAGATGCCCACAACATTGGCAATCATGATGATGAAGATGCCCACAACATTGGCAATCATGATTATGATGAAGATGCTGATGACAGTGGCAATCATGATGATGATGAAAATGCTGATGACAGTGGTAATCGTGATGATGATGATTCTAAATGGCAATGATGAAGATGTTGAAGGCAAAACATTTAATCATAATACTGCGAATCACGAGTATGATGATGATTAAGTGATCTTAATGAAGTTGTTGATGATGACAATGATCGTGATGATGAGATAATGATTATCATGATGCTGCTACTAGTTATGATGATGATGAATATGATGATAATATATGAATGATGGTGGTGGCAGTAGTGGTGTTGGTGATGTTGCAATAATTATTATTACGATGATAATGACAAATAAAATATGGTGCTAACGTTAAAAAACCTGCCACTTTTTTCAAATTTTCTTGCTGTGATTTTCACACCTGATGATGATTGCTTGTGTTGCAGTCGAAACGTCGTGAGAATTTGATTGTTTTATATTTTTATTATTTTATTGTTTCCCTTCTACGTGACTTTACCGAAAGAACCAAGAATATAAATAAGATATGGTTAGATGTAATGGGGGTAGCAGTGCTGTTGATGATGTATGTATGTTGAACTTATTTCACACCGTACATAGTCAACCGTGCTAATCAGAGGTACGGGGGGGAAGGACAACAAACTAAACACAAAGAGCAGTTCGAAAAAAATAGTTAAAAGTACATAACTCCAGTAGCTTCCTAATATCGGAAGGAAGGACGTTCCAATCGGCCGCAGAAGTGCAACTGAAAGTGCGCGATGCGGTGTCCGTCTTTATTCCATGGACAGCCCAAAAGCCACTGCTGTGAGAATGACCGAGGTTTACGTGATGGTGTATGCTCCTTGACGTGACCAGCGAGGTATTGTGGTTTATTTTTGGCAAGCACTTTGTGTGCAATGGGCGCAACCTCAGCATGAGCTCCTGTGGCCGTCTGGAACGCTTTTTCTTCTGATGTTAGGAAGCCACTGGAGCTGTGCACTTTCAAATCTCGATTGATGACTAATTTCTTTAGCACTCCTTTTTTTGTGTTTAGTTTGTTGTCCTTCCCCCCAACAACTACGATAATTATCACTGTTGGCTACGTACCCATGCGAAGGAAGTGCAACGTACGTACACACATACAGACAGTGGCAATGATAGTGGCGGCGGAGGAGGCCTGACGATGGCTCACCATGTGCCGCAGCCATACCTGGAGGAGCCACTTCTCAACCAGACCCCGCGCATCCGCAGGGACGATCCTCTCCACCAGCGCCACCCTCTCGCCCTCGGCCGACTCCATGTGCGTGATCTCCTTGTCGACGTTGAAGGTGAGACACGCGATGCCCTCGAAGCACTTCTTGAGGTGAGGCTGCACGCGCTGGGGCTCCCTCGTCTCCGAGAGGATCTCCAGCAGCTCGTCGTTGGACAGGAAAAAGAACCTTCGGAAACAAAGGGGCAGGGAAAAAAACGATGAAGAGCAGCGCCTCGCTCGGCGCAGCGGAGAACACCTCAGTTTTACACGGCTGTCAATGTACGGCGCGCGAAAGAAGTTCAACATGCATAAATACTTACGTACGTACGTACAGCAGAAAACCGGAGAGCAACTTGGTGCAACCGTCACAAGCGTAGCCCAATAAACACCGAGTGAAGTGCAGGCAAATAAATGCCACGTATGTGTGTCTGTCAAACACGCAATGAGCAATTATGTTTATCAAAAGGACCCTGAAATGACACATTTGCTGAATTAGTTTTTAACCAGCGTTTTACTTGCGGCAGGGAGGCAGAATACGAGGAGAAAATCCTCACAACGCTTGTGGGAATAAAACCCAAAGGTTCGCGTGGACAAGTTCATAAACCCATTTGCTGTGCTGTTCTGCAATCTCCTGTCCCCTACTTGCAGCCCAGCAGCATTTGGGAGGATCACAAATAGCCAGAAGGCGACCAAACTCTGGCCCCCAATGCGTCGGATCGTGGGCGTGTGGGCAGGATGTCAGGCCAGCCTATTGCTTGTTGTAACAAAGTCGATAGGCCAAGATCAGAATTCTCTTGCTGGCAGCAAAACGAAAGTGTGGGGGAAAAAACCGTCGCCGTGTCTTTTGCAAAGGTCGATAACCAGGGACGATATAATTGCGGGTGATGTATCGCGTGCGATAACCGTCGCAGAGAAGCGAGTTTTTAATATGAGTTTAAAAACTTAAACAGTGCGCCCACCCTCTTGCGTGTTCTGATAATAATGAACCACGATGAATCGCGACAGCAATGAAGGTCACCGTTTTCCAGGCAACAAACCGAAAACCAAAGAAAAAAAAGTGGTTCTGTCAAATCCATCTCATTATCGCCCAGCAATCACAACAACAACAAGAGTCTGCAATTAAACAATGTCATGTTGTGTAATGTTAATTTCATACATGGGCTCGCAAGAGCAATATATTACGATTCATAATTCATTTTTTAGGGGTTAGATCGGCGTGTGGATATGTCACGAGCGTTATGCAACCTCAACCACCTGACACAGCCAGATAAAGTGATTTGCCACTTCAACGAATGTGCCAATTGGTTTTGTTAATCAGCAGACTGGTTACTTTTTTATTTTACCAGGTAAGGCCCACTGAGTATATATAGGTATTTTCTGAACTGGCTGAAGGTAATCATGGGGTTAGCTCTTAAGGTAAAGCAGTTTCACGTAACAATACAAAAAAACAGGTGAGACTTTTTGATTAAAAAGAAGCTGGGGTGTATATTAGTATAAAGACAAAGATCCTCTGTATAGCCTTAATCGACTGTTAGGGCAAGTACTGTTAGCGAGCACCCATGAAAGATGGTACGGCATGCGAGGGAGTGAGGGGCCAGCACCGTGGCCGACCGTCTTAGTCTCTCCAGTAGTGATGTTTATACATCGCACCAGGTACTCAATTAAGGCTCAGTTGACCTAGGCGAGGCCCCAGGACCGGTTCAGATAATTGCCACTAGTGCCGGCTGCGAGCGGGAATCGAACTCGGGTTGTCAGATTTCTTAGCGCAGCCCACTAACCGCTACACTACACCTTCAATCACTTGCATCGTTCAATCACCATCTTCATCTGCTAGCAATGCTGGCACGTGCCTGTAATCCCATAGACTAATCCATAGACCAAAATTGGATGGCAGTGTCTCAGTATGAATGTTTTACTTTAATCACCAGTCGTGCTCTTTAAAATAAAAGGCACGATGTGAAGAAGGGTAGATTCCAACATCGTGCTCTTAACAGCAGCGATATTTTTCATTTTACAACGATGGGTAGAAGATGCCACCTTCAAGTGTTTTAAGGCTCTGAGCATCTACACACTTTTTATTGGGTTTGCAAGGTATTGTGGGGATCTCACATGATGCTGTAGCCCAACTATTTCTCACGACCTTATTTTCTTCTTGTCCTAAACAACCGATCAAATGTTGTGAAAGCAAACGTTGCAACCCTTACGGAGGAGAAGATTTAATGAGTGCATTCATATTGGTGGAAGACGTGCAGAGGCTTTGAAATGGAACGTAGTTTTATCCACACTTTGTCCGCATGTCTTAAGTAATAATCGTTTTGGCGAACAATATGCACAGTATTCGTTCACGCTCAGGCAGAGAGAGCCCAGAAGCACGAGGCACCATATACAAGCGGGAAAGGCAGCGATTCAGTGAGCTGGTGCCAAATTCCACCGCAAGCTCCCGTGGTCCTCTACATACTAAGGTGTTTTCGAACAAGTAACGAGCATTTACAGGAGGAAGGAGATCCACGCATGCGAGGGGGCCACGTTAGGATTTCTTTTTACGCGATTTCACTTTGTGTGCCCATTTTCGGAACGAATCTACCACGCAACGCAAGAAAAACCTGTATACGTGAAACACGTCGGCAAGTGGAAAGCAAAAACACATCGGGCAGTGGGAAACAAAGGTTGATGGCCATAATACTGAGGCACATATGCCATGCTAGCCTCTGGAGATGCTCGCTAACAGCTTCCCCACACTAATATGGGGGTTTATTTTGTTATCTATGCGCCTGCGCGTGTGAAAATGCTGAACTATGAATTTTCAACTAAGTCAAGAACTGGGAAAAAAAACACAAAAAAAATCCAATCTACTGTGTAAACACGGAGCGTATGGGAATAACATGTGCATAGTTAGCATAGTAGCTACCTTGCTATTTTATATATCCCTTTACAACCCTTCATTATGGCCACCAAAAGACTTTCTCAAACTCAGTTTCAGAGGCAAGGTTATATATTTAGCGAGAGAGAGAGCTCACACAGACTCCAGGCTTCAGAGACTAAACATAATGCGATGTTACTTTTCAAATTTCAGATATAATCCAGATATTTAACGACCGCAATTATAATTGAATATTAGTTTGGCCAAATGCCCAGTATATTGTAACAAGCATTAAACTATGAAAAGTAAAATTAATTAAACTTTTTTTTATTTTACCAGGCAAGGGCCACTGAGCTGTGTAGGTCTTTTTCAGAAGCGACCTGGCCACAAATGACAGCTCAACGAAGTGGCTTATCGTCACGTGGACATTTATAGCAGACAAATACTGTAAACGTACGTCGCTTCCAAATGTGGAGGGAAAAAAAAAACCGAAGGACCCGGGGAAAAAATCCACGCGACCGCGGGGGAGAACAAGCACACTTTAAACGTACAGGCGTCAGGGTCGGGATCGAACCCACAACCTCCGATACACCAGGCGAAGTAGTTTACCATCTCGCCATCATGGCGCCCATAGGGGTCCAATATGCAAGTTGGCGCGAGTGACCACATAAAGGAGACCCTTTAACATTTAGTTTGCAGGGGGCTGCAAGAACCGCTTTAGACATCCATACTCTTGTTATTAACCTTTAACTAGACCTGCTGTTTAACAGCACATGACTTAATTGTACGAACTATATGACCTGTAGAAACGCCATAGCTCGTGCCATTAGTTTAATTGAGAGGAAATTCTACAGTGTCCTTAATCCTGAATGACCTTCACCCAGATGATTTTTATTTTCCTGCTGTAGACTTGAGCTTTTCTTTTGTAGGCATTAAAGTGGTGCTAAATAAAATGCAACATTGTCACTGCTCTCTACACACGCAATTGACCACGCATGCGCACTGACTCATGCATTAACGAATACACTGTATGTGGAATTTTCAGATATAACTGTTGTGTTCAGCACCCTTGTGATGGCTTTCCATGCTACCTGTGCAATAGAAGTTGTAATTATTATTCGTATTATTGTTATTAAAGTCAATTAATCAAATTGTCCCAATTCTCAAATTAGCATTAGTTGGTGCTATCTCCATTCACGGCCGTGAGGTGGGATTAAACATTCTTACAACAGAGGTGCATCTACTATCGAGACAACTACTGTCTTCCGAAACGAAATGGTACTGATTTTACAGACCTTTGTGGGATGTATAGGCCAAACTGAACCTTAACTAGGAATTAAACTTGCAACAATCCAATTATAAGTTGATTGCTGTACTACAAGCACAGTCGTCCGAATAAACTGTGTTCTAAAAGCTCGTGACATGCGTTCAATTCCTGGCCCCACGTTGAACATCAGTGGCTTGTGACATCCGAACCAGATTTGTCCCTCACACCCACTCCCTTCACGAAATCGCACTTGCTAGTGTGGTAAATAATCAAGCAATGCCAACGAATGACAATGCGTGGGCAAGCCGCCAACCACCGGCAGATTATAATAAAGGGCTGCAAAGTAGTATTTATTTTGAGAAAAAAGCATGACGATGTACACTACGAACAAACAAGGCAAAAGTCCTTCTCTGGGACAACGTTCCCCAGCGGCGTTTCTTTAGGACGGCAAGCGCTTGGACTGCTGTCAACCTTCCGAATCTCTCGTCACAACAATGCCGCCAAGTCGCCCTCAATGAATAAACGATTATCTTCATGAATCACGCTGTGCATCGGCTCCATAGCACCGGGGTGATGGAGGGGTCCGAGCCCCCCTTCACCGTCCCTATTCAAGGCCCTTCCTGCAAATTGCTGAAGTAAAATGGAACGTTTAACATCGGACGCCCCCGAAGGTTTTGTATGCCTTTAAACAAGGTCATCCTGCAGGGTTGCTGTGTACGCACAATATATGCGTGCAAACATCAACATGCTTGAACACACTTCCACAATGGATAGTGATTCACACAGCTTTGATATTGTTGTTGCGGCTACCAACAACAACAACAGCTGCAATTCGCCTCGAAGTGGCGGTGATGTCACCACTGCGCTTGTGCCAGACATTGTGGATACTTCAAAGACAAAGATACCCCGTGGAGCCTGAACAGATTGTTGGGGCAAGTGCTCTTAGCGAGCACTTATGAAGGCCGGCACGGCACACGAGGGGGTGGGTGGCCAGCACCACGCCCGGCCGCCTTTGTCTCCCCAGTGGAGATGTTTACACATCACACCAGGTACTAATTTGAGGCTGAGTTGACTTAGGGGAGGCCCAGGACCGGTTCATATAATCGTCACTGGTGTTGGCCGTGAGAAAGAATCAAACCCGGGTCTCCAGGTTCAGTGGCGCAGCGCGCTAACTGCTGCGCCACCGCTCCACACTGTGGATACCTCACACACACAATATCCACACAAACCTGGGAAAGAAGAGTCGCTTGGTCTCTAGGTAGTGGTTGAGGCCCTTCTGTATGTCCTCCAGCAGAGACTCGGCCTCCCTCAGCTTGTCCAGAACCCCTTCCTGAGCCACCACAGCCATGACCCTCGTATCCGCCTTGGCAAGCCCCATGATGTTCTGCCTGTAGAATCGAGGATGGGGGGGGGGGAGGTCAGTGAGCCGTAGCCCTGTGGGCAATGTGCAGCACGGGCTTACAGGTTGCCAACACCATGCCCGGACGCCTTTGCCTCCCGAGTGGAGATGTTGACACAGGGCACAAGCCACGCCGACGTGTTCATTCTGCGCGGCCGAAGGAAAAAAAAGAAGAAGATGGGTCAAGAGGTCTCGCCGCTCAAGCGAGGATCGGATTCGGTGCTCGTCTCCCGTTAACCGTGAGCCAGAGCAGCCCCAGGAGACGAGGCCCACACAGGTGTGGGCGTCGTCTCCATCGCTGAACACTCGACGGTGCCGCCCTTCTGTTGCTCGGTAAAATTTGGCTCACTAAAAGTTAACTATCCGTTAATTATACGTACCATATATTTCAGCCCTCGCGCACGATGGGTTAGGTGCATTTACCGCGAGGAAATAAGACGTCTGTTAAACAGTCGTTGGTTACTCGATTAAGACCGTCAACCCGCTGCTCTTGAGAATTTAGTGAATTATTTCTCGAAAAGGTCAGTGCACTTCCTTGTAAAATAATGAGTCTTGATCGTATCAACTGGTGATCTTGAGCCAAAGCTGTACACCCCATATTTCCACAGTGTGGGAGAGGGCCCCCTCGATTGCATGGACACTGTTGACTTCCTATAATGAATGGTACCACATTTCATCATCTACGGACAGGTGACGGGCTTGAGTTGAAGCGGTATCGATGAAGTGGTTAGCACTCTAACCATCGTGTGACACTACTCGGATCGTAGGTTAAACATGCTGCATATAAAACAAATTTAGCATAGAGTTATGATAGAATTATGAAGCCGTGTGTGTGGCAGACACGCGTGTTTATCATTGCGCAGGTATAAAAATGCTAAAGTTGGAATGAGATGAAGGCTGGAGACCGGAGTCACCTCGCAGGTTACACTGACAGAAGGCGGCATTGTTTGGCAAGTGGAAGTGCTAATTACAGACAGCGCATGATGAATTTGTTAATTTCACTGGAACTTCTCCAAGATGAAGCCAATCCTGGCAAAGAAAATATCAAGGGGGGGAAAAAAAAGAAAGCACCACAGAGTCACCTTTCATCACTCTCCATTGAGAAAAGCATTGATTTCTTTAGAAAGAGAAAAATGACAACTTTAACAGAGCAGCAAATCAATGGGGGCAAGGGACATGGTCTATCCATCACGTAACCCGTGGGGTCATGAAAAAATAACCCTCGCTGGTAATTAAAAGGATAGTGCCAGCAGTGGTGCAACGGAGGTGCTGTGGGCAATAATTTAGTGCACGGGTCTGCAGCTGAGCCAGGCACCAGAGGCTGTCTGTACCTTGAACAGAACACAATGGGGCCTGCTTGATTGATGTATAACATTATCATGACTCCATTCTGTGTCTCCGAATATAAGCACGCGAAGACGTTGCCCATTGCAGGGGTGGTGGTGGGGGGGTTATATTCTTGAAAATAGCCGCAATCGGCAAATCCACGACCTGCGAACTCAAAAGGCAAATGGGAAAAACGAGGGCTTGGTTCACGGTTCGTAACACGACAACCCTCCCCTCTCCTTTTGTTTTATGTTACCCTGCGTTAACCAGAACATGAAACTGGAAGTATTTTTTTACGTAAAATATTATTGATGTTTTCTATCGTCTAAAATATAACTTGTGCAGTAAATGTATAGAATAAAAAAAAATATGCAGTGTACAGTTTTGTACTGCACACGTAAAAGCAAACCTGAAAATAAAGATGAGGTTAATTTCATATGTAGTGGAAATATGCAGTTTAAAACGGAACAAACTAAATATACTTTTACTCACAATGAATGATGATGACGATGATGGCGCGTGTATTCTTCAGCAGCAGCATCATCGCAACAGCACAGTTAGATGACAGTACTTCTTTTACGATGCGTACAGAAAACCTCACGCAATGTGAATAGCCGAGCCACAGGGGTACGATCGGAAAACTATACCTCAATAAATTCGGCGCGAATGGTCAAATCCACGCTGGAAAAACCCGCGATGGACGAAGTTTGAGTGCGCAAATGTTATTCGTCCACCGGCTTATTGGATCTCCAGACTAATATTATTCAGCAGCATTTGTTTAACAAAGCAAAGCATGGAGCGGTTTCAGCCTTCTCGGGCTCATCAGCAGCGTCAGGTTAAACAAATGCTGCAGGGTTAGCAAATATTATTGGCAAGAGCACTCCATCTAAACGTTGGGGCCTTGTTCAACGAAAAAGCAATGAGTGGTATGATGGATGTAGCGACTTCTGGCCATCAGTCTGATTGAATGGTGGCAGTTTTTGGATAAAATCAGAACCATTCTGTTATTATTATAGTTGAAATGGCGTGACACTAATTCCACGAAAAATGTGACTGTCTGCTGATATTCACTGGCCAATAGTGGACAGAGTTGTGGCATATCCATCTTGAGGAAGAGCACCCCCACCCCCCACCCCGTAAGCTTTGGGGGACAGGGCTCTTGCGAGGAGTGCCGCACCATTTCACCCTGATTCAGATGTGCAACTCGTTGCCTCCAATCTGCGACTTTTTCTTTCTTTCCGGAAATTCTTCGAAGACGTTTGGAACGAATTTTGGTAATGTAGCAACCAATCAGGCAAGGGTTTGTGTATCATCACGCGACAGAGCCCAATGAATACGTTGGGAGAACATCGGTCCCACCACATTCCAACGTTGGCCCAACGTTGGAATGTTTACTTGAAGGTTGTTCTGAGTTTATGAGCTTCATCAGCAGCAGCGTAGAGGCAAGATTATTGTCACTATCATCTCTATAGTCAGGTGTGTAATAATTGTCATCAATGTTGTCATCATACACTACATACACGTGCACGGATTAGGGCTCGTATTGTGAGTATTACACATTATGCTGTAATTGCTGCCCCAATCTATTGCATATAATATATATGCACCCAAGTGATAGCCAGGGGATATGCAAACAAAAACTAATGAACAGCAAATCAACGGCTTATCTACTCCTGAGGGATAGCTAATCAACAGCTCGTAAATGGCAAAAACAGCACAGGTACCACTGATTAAGAGACAGACATCAAGAGCTGGCCAACAGCTGATCAACAGTACAAAGGGAAGTCAAATAAAAGTTAATTAACATCTGAGAGACAACCTATTGAACTGCAGATCAAAAGACTGATCCTCAGCCAAGCAAGAGCTAATCAGCTGCCAACCAGCTGCTTATCAACTCAAGTGACATCCGACCTATGGCTGTACAGCGGAATCACAATGTTTGTGCCTTGCACTATTGCTGGGAATCCATACATGGGTGGGGGGATTTTTTGTTGTTGCAATATTCACCACAACCACCAACAACCGCTATTCGTCACTAAGTAGCGGTGACGTCACCACGGGCGGTTGTGCCAGGCCATGTGAACTTTAAGGCCACGTGAAGTGTCGAACGCCTGCTGGCAGGAGGTCACAGCGACAGACCCAGGTGTCATGGGTTGACTGACTGGTGAAAAACAACCCTTACCTCCTTACATCACCACTACCGTCGTCATCATCATCATCATCAATAGCCATGATCCATCCACTGCTCAATGAAAAACCCCTCAAATCGTCATTATCCCTCACCTGTCTCCTGATGCAACAATTAATCTAGTTGTTACGCACTAAGCTGCTCGTTTCATTGCTCCATGTCAAAGATGGACGGACCCTTGGACTGTACTTGGGTTGCCACTCAGTCATTAGTCTCGATCGGTAGCCAGCACCCCTAAAAGTCGTGTGTCCTGTCCAAGCCCTATTATTTGTCTTAACAGTCATAATGAATATTCTTAGTTTTTTCGGTAAAGTCACGTTGAAGAGAAACAACAAAATAACAAAATATATATAAAACAATAAAAAATTCTCACGACGTTTCGACCATAACTCAAACGGTCATCATCAGGTGTGTCGGTTTGCATAAATTTATTTTGAAAACGGCATATTTATTTATTTATTTATATAAAAATAACGTTTGCGTCACGCGCAACGATTGGCTGTTTGCCAGGACTAGTCCATCTATTTTTTGAAAAGAGGAGGGGGGAGACGAAATTTGTTTTTATGTATGCTGTCTGAAAGCCACTGTAAGCGTGAACAATCAATCAAGAACTGAAATGATTTATCAAATCTTTCCAATGATTGCTAAGATAGAATCCATCTTCTCGGTTGAAATTGTCTCTGTGCTTGTATATGTGGATAGCCTCATGAACGAATCTCTCATGGAAGCCAGATGGCTTACAAAGAACCTCCGTCTTGGAAAGAGAGATTCGTTCATGAGGCTATCCACATATACAAACACAGAGACAATTTCAACCGAGAAGATGGATTCTATCTTAGCAATCATTGGAAAGATTTGATAAATCATTTCAGTTCTTGATTGATTGTTCACGCTTACAGTGGCTTTCAGACAGCATACATAAAAACAAATTTCGTCTCCCCCCTCCTCTTTTCAAAAAATAGATGGACTAGTCCTGGCAAACAGCCAATCGTTGCGCGTGACGCAAACGTTATTTTTATATAAATAACTAAATAAATATGCCGTTTTCAAAATAAATTTATGCAAACCGACACACCTGATGATGACCGTTTGAGTTATGGTCGAAACGTCGTGAGAATTTTTTATTGTTTTATATATATTTTGTTATTTTGTTGTTTCTCTTCAACGTGACTTTACCGAAAAAACTAAGAATATGAATTACTGCAGTCACGAAAGCTTTAAGTCATAATGAAGTCTATTTATTGCATTTATTCGCTCAGCCGTCCGTTCTGCTTTGCTTGTAATTTGAAGCATGCACAACTCCAAGCTTCTCTGCAGAATGTTAAGATTTTTTTCTCCATATTTCTTTGCCAATATCCATGCTTCTGATCCATCTGCCAATGGGTCGGTTCACACTGATACAAAACAAACTGTCCCCCGGCAGGTGAATTAGTGCGGTGTATTTACGATCAAATTCAGCTTTCCGAAAGCAATCC